ATTTTTCATCTCCATTCTCTAGAGGTGGGGGCGATAAATTTATCAAGAAAATATTTAATTTTCTGTAATGCTTTAATCTTCTGATAGAGACTTTTTTAATTTCTAAAATATACATTATAATTGATCTGATATACGTACACAACGAAATATAAAATAAAATGTACAATGTTAACACATAACAAAGGTAAATTGTGTTTCTTTTCTCGCAATTTCTTTGAAAGGTAATGTATATGGCTTGAAGACGCAAATGCATTGCCATACAAATTTCTGTAATTTGTACATGTAATTTCTGTAATTAGTACTTTTCTACAACTTAAGCGTGTGGACACTCGTATAAGTTATGAAATTATTGATTTTTCTAATAAAAATCACGGATTTCTTCATGGATTTAAACTCTGTTTTGTGGTAAATCTTCGCAAGTATTGAATGATTCTTGTTGGTTAAAGGAGAGAAAAAAAGTAAGCGATTGGTCAAAGATAAATTCTAATTTCTAGTCGAATCGTGGTCCAGTGTTCGAATCCCGGAGGAACGGTCTGGCATTTTATTTGTTTTCCCCATATGTAAAGTACATGTCAGTCAGTCTTACTTAGAAAGTCCTCCACGAAGATCCTTCTCTTAGAAAAGTAAACCTCGAGGGCTCTGTCGTAATCAAATAAATCAAACCAAACCATCAGCTGAACTTTAAATCTAGCTTTATAATTAGTATTAATATAGATTCTTAATATATATGTTACTATTGTCATGGCATATGTTTTTTTACCGACTTTTATTTTGGTCTGTCTTCAATTTTATAAATGCGATACATATACACTGAAGTGACAAAAGTCATGGGATACCTCCTAATATTTTGTCGGTCCTCCTTTTAGCCGGCGAACTGCAACAACTCGACGTGGCATGGACTCAACAAGTCGTTGGAAGTCCCCTGCAGGAATATTGCGCCATGCTGCCTCTATAGACTTCCATAATTGTGAAAGTGTTGACAGTGCAGTGTTTTGGGCACGAACTGACCTCTCAGGGATGTCCCATAAATGTTCGATGGCATTCATGATGGGCGATCTAGGTAGCCAGATCATTCGCTGGAATTATCCAGAATGTTCTTCTAACAAATCGCGAACAATTGTGGCCCGGTGACATGGCGCATTGTGATCCATAAAAATCTCATCGTTGTTTGAGTACGTGAAGTCCATGAATGGCTGTAAGTGATCTCCAAGTAGCTGAAGGTATCCATTTCCAGTCAATGATCGGTTCAGTTGCATCAGAGGACCGAGTCCATGCCATGTAAAAACAGCCCAGACCATTATAGAACCACCATCAGCTTGACCAGTGCCTTGTTGACAACTTGGGTCCATGGCTTCGTGGGGTCTGCGGCACACTCGAATCCTACCATCAGCTCTTACCAACTGAAATCGTGTCTCATCTGACCAAGCCACGGTTTTCCAATCGTTTACGGACAAGCCGATATGCTCACGAGCCCACGAGAGTCGCTGCAGGCGATGTCGTGCTGTCAGTAAAGGCACTCGAGTCGGTCTTCTGCTGGCAGAGCCCAAGGAAGACAAATTTCGCCGCACTGTCCTATCGGATACGTCCCTCGTACGTCCCACATTGATTTCTGCGGTTATTTGACGCAGTGTTGCTTGTCTGTGAACATTGACAACTCTACGCAGACGTCGCTGGTCTCCGTCGTTAAGTGCATGTGGTCGGCCACTGCGCTGTCCATGGTGGGATGTTATGCCCGAAATTAGATACTCTCGGCACACTCTTGACACTGTGGATCTCGGAAAGTTGAATTCCCTAATGATATCCGAAATGAAATGACCCATGCGTCTAGCTCCAACTACCATTCCGCGTTCAAAGTTTGTTAATTCTCGTCGTGCGGCCATAATCACGTCAAAGCCTCTTCCCATGAATAACTTGAACACAAATGAAAGCCCTGCCAAAGCACTTCGCATTTATACATTTTCTACGCGATACTACTGCCATCTGTATATTTCCATACTGCTAACCCATGACTTTTGTCACTTTAGTGTATATATAAATATATAAATGTATGCCAACATTTAACACTGCATCAGGAATTCTCACGGGGAATAAATATAATAAATGTTGTTACGTTCTACAGATTTGCGGATTTGGAGTAATTCAGTTCCTAGTATTACACACGAGATTACACGTTTACAGTCGTCGAAAAACTACGATAAACAGGCTGAAACAATCAGTAACACAGAATTCTTCGGGCTGTAACAGTAAAAACAGCTTCACGGCAAAGCACTAAAGCACAGCTTCTCGGTCCATCACTCTCAAGCTAACCTCTTAACTCAAGACACTCCTCTCTCCGTGTACAGGCAAATGTATATAGAACTTAACCGAACTTAACCTTATCATCGAGAACATTCCCGAGGAAACCTACTAAAAATGCGTTCTAGAATGTTCTCGCTTCGTCTATAGCATATCGCCAATTTTGTCGCCAAATCCGCGATTCCGCGCCAAATATGGCAAACATGTCTTTCAGTGCCACTTTCTGGCAACCCTAGCCCCGCTAAGCTATCTTATCGCAGCTGAGCATTTCGCAATAATATTTTTAAAATAACATTGGCAATTACTTAATAACATTCTAAAGATTAGAGTTATAAATTTCCAGAGCAAATTATTTTGTCAGTAAACGAATGTACGTGGATAATGACATTCCCATCATATGTACAGGAATATGAAAAATCGCTGCTATAAACATTTACATCTTCTCATATAGTAAAATTACAATAAAATGCCAACTAAAAATCTCAAAACTGTAACTGAGTTTGGCCAGTAAATAATACAGCATCAATATTTCTCTTTGAAATTTTCGGTATATGCCATTGAATTCAACCTTACAAGCTAGCAATTTCAAATATTTCCTTAAAACATAATCTTTCCTCTTTGTGATAGGGAATAAAATTAAAACATTTCAGTGGAGCATCATTTATTTTTCAATAAATATGGAAAAAACTCGCCTGACGTCGATTACATATATATATTATTTTCTATCTAACACTACATTGCTCAATAGTTGACTATATAGATGCGAAGCAGTGCGAACTAGGAAACAAAGGCTCTCCAACTGAATGTCTGAAAACCAAATAGAGCATGGAAAAATTCCCTATTCATACACGTTTCATCCCACAGTGCAGGGAAAAAACATAATTCTATCACGAAAAGACATCCTAACAGAATTAAAGGATGCATGGAGCAATAGTTCTCCTTTCGGCATTCTTCTCCTTCTTTTTAGTTGCTTGGTTGCAGAAGAATGCGAAAGAATATAAAATGAAGAATGAACACACGCGGAATGAATATAAGAGGAGAAAAAAAAAGGAGAGTGAAGCATTGTCCTTTTGAATGTAAATTTTCAGGAAAAAAAGTTTTAGAGAGCATTTTTGAACTGATACAAAAGTTGAAAAATTTCGAGCTCTAAAATACACATACATACTTGTACGGTGCTTTTCAAACATAATGAAATGTAAAGTACGTGATGATATTTATTCAATGACGAATAATCTAATTGCTTTCTGTACTTCTTTTCTTTTTTGTGAACTTAGCGAAATTTTACGGTATTTAAATTCTTTTATAGTTTGTAAGACAACCGCTACATTTTTGAATTATTAACAGTTAGATATTTTATATTTTTAAACTGCTCCTGTTCATTCACTGTGAAAACCGACACATCTTTAAAAATCAATGCTAAATAACAGAAATGAGTAGAAGATTTTTTCATTCATTAACCACTTAAGGAGAAAATTGCCTTATCTCTTACTGCTTGCTTTAATAGAATTCACTAAAACAAAAGCCTCCTGAACGGTATAGTTGTAAGGATGCTAAGTTTTACTAACGTTTATTTTATTTTAAAACTGTACTATTACTTCTTATTTTCTACTTCCGGCCAGAATTAAATGCTTTAACTTGTTTATGCAAATTTTCTTGCTAACGCCAAGTACTTAAGTTGTGGCTTTTTGCCAAGAGAGAGAGAGAAGGAGTTTCAGGAAGCAAGCCGCTTGCCACTGTAGTTTTACGAGTTTTCACTCTGTTGCTGGTTGCCTTTAAGGCCAGAGATTTAGCCCTCTTGTTATTTGCAAACGTATTGTAGTTAAGCAGCTTGGCGTACTACATACGTACCTTTCTTTAAATAAAGGTCAATCTTAGTGCTAGGCATTTGTATACTAATTCAAAGTTAGTTTTAGTTAGAGTTTTAGTTCCTATTCATACACGTTTCATCCCACAGTGCAGAGATAAAACACAATTCTATCACGAAAAGACATCCTAACAGAATAAAAGGATGCATGGAGCAATAGTTCTCATTTCGACATTCTTCTCCTTAGAATTAGTTAGTAGTTTTTATATTCTTACGTTCAGACCACAAGTGGTTGGTCTTTGTATTCCGAAGCTCGAAAGATTCTGTAAAAGATTGAAAATAAATGGTTTCGTATACCCTTCCTGCTTGTGTTGTCTACATCACACTTTCTTGAACATAGCTTGAGTAAGCTCCCTGTTCCAATTCAGGACCATTCATGTTTCCAACGCAAATCAAGAGAAATACAAGTCCTGATATAGTGGTTAGGGGAGACTACTTCTGTAACGAAGGCTCCCGGTTCGAATTCAGTAGAAGGCATGAATGTTAGTAAATGTATAGTATCTTTGTGGCATGGGGAAATATATTGCGAGCCGGAAGTCCCCTCGTGTGGTTTGGTGGGATGAACGAAGGGTGGGAGACTCTCGTACCACCACCCCGGGGTGCTCTGCCTCAAAAGACATACTAAAAAGCGCAGATTTTGTGATTCATTTTATATACTGCAAATGAACATAGTTACAAGTAAAACATAAAAATAGGTACATAAACGTTAGGTGCTGTAGTTATACAGCGACTATTTCTTTAATGAACAATTCTGTAGATTTTTAACAAACATTTGTCTTAAAATTAATTAATCTCAATTAAGATTTGCAGACTATCAGTGAAAGTGTAAAAGTAAACTTACATTGCACCCTCAGTTGAACGACATTACTTTCACCTTCTCCTTCATTGTTGCTAGCAACACAGGTATAATGCCCTCGTGATGTCCTCTGTACTTTCTGTAGCACCAGACTTTGGTTGCTGACTATGATTCCAGCTGAAGTATTGGTGTGTAATTCCTTGCCATTAAATCTCCAGCCGATTTCAGAAACCCATGGACTGGCAATAATACTACAGTCAAGATACACGTCGTTCCCTTCTTGAATGTGAGAATGCCTTAGTTTGCTTCCAAGCCGTAATGTCAACTGAGGAATATCTGCAAATAACAAGAAATTGTGTTTCATTTCTTGGGTAATTATACAATAGAAGAGAAAATAGAGATAATTAAAATGAGGGGCATTAATGAAAAAAAAATGGGTTTTAATGAAGCTGAAAGAAAGGAGATAAATGATTGGAAAGAAAATAAATCAATAGATTGAAAGGAGTAGTGATCATATGCCAGCAAGATACAAATGATTCAAAATTCGAAATACTTAAAAAAAAAACAGTTTTTTAATACATGGTAACACATGAATGCATGAAATTACAAGTAAAGGAAGTTATTGAAATTCTTTTGTGCAAATGTTTTAATTACTGATATGGTCATTAAATGTGCTAAGCCTTATAAACATGAACAGCAGGTCTTCCACATGCTCATATTCGTTGGAGGATTATGTTATTCAAAATTCGATGACTCTATGTACTGTTGTTTTATTACAATACGAGAAATATACATACATTTATGCAGATTTTTCATTATTTAATTTCTTCAAATATAATGCAGGACTCTAACATTTTGTGGCAACAGTTTGAAAAGTGAACCGACATTTATGAGTCCGACGCAAAATGCCAAAACGAAACTAATAGTCCTTCGGGATTCAAATCCCTTTGGACTAAAAAAAAAAAAAAAAAAAACTTTCAAATTTTACATTCCGCCCAAAAGAGCCGTTTTCTTAACGTCTTGTGTGTAACCTTTATTTATTAAATATCATGTTCTTTGCACTTAACCATAAAATTCAATTCAACAGTAATATCGCAAAACTATTTTTAAATGAGCAAATCTTTAGAATTTCCGATACACAGTCTCGCACGCTGGAGATAATCTTCCCCGTAGAGTATTGCCATTGCTCGCTTTGAAACCGTTGAGTTTGTTGATCAAAAATTCGTCAAAGTGTTACAGGTTAGGAAATGATAATAAAACAAATTTCAAATTCCTAATTAGGGCTTCCAGTTGCCCATATTCGGTGGAAGATTACGTTACGTTATTCAAAATTTGATGATTGTAGGTATCGTTGTTTTATCACAAAGCGAGAAACGTATATACATTTTTGCAGATTCTTCATTATTTAGTTTCTTTAAATATGACACAGGTCGGTAATATGTGGTGGCAACAATTTGAAAAGTGAAACGGACATTTAGAGTGATTTGACGCAAAATGCCAAAACGAAATTAATAGTCATTCTAGGCTAACGGGTTAAAAAAAAAAAAAAAAAAAAAAAACGCTATTTTTTGCTTTTTTTTTAAATTATTTTAATTTTCGTTAAATTTCCCACCGAATCAATTTTTCTGTTTGAAATAAGATTAATTTCCTTTATCCTTAAAAATCAATTAAAAAAAGTGCACTTTGCTTCATTCTGCTCTAATTCTCATTCAGCACTTCTTATTCTTAGTTTATTTACGATAAAACTACCAGACGTAAGAAAAACTGAAATTTTATATTAACCGTCAGTAACTATTACTCTGAAACATCTGGTTTATTTCAATAAAATACACATTGCACACGATCTCAATATACAATTTCCAGCTATTTGGTTGGCTGCCCATTTGAACAAGATTGGAATTTTCGATAGTTCTGAATGTTTCTTCTGCAATTCCATCTGGAGGAATGGTGATCGCTTCCCTTCTTTTACCTGCTCTAATATAGAATTTTCTCTTCAGACTTTACTGGGAAGCTTCGAATCAGATGAAACTTTCTCCAAAGTACTTTAAACTTTTTTATTTAGAATTTGGTTGTCTAAATTCTGGTGCTGCATTTGAATTCTATCACTATGTTTATACTTCGTATTTTATTTATATCTTATCTTATCTTTATTTTATCTTATCGTATTCATTTATTAACTTATGTTTATATTTCGTATTTTATTTTTATCTTACTTTTATCATTTTATCTTATTATTATATCTTTACCATATTTTATTTTTATCTTTTTATCTTATTATTATATCTTTATCGTATTTTATTTTTATCTTTGTCTACAACTTCTTATATGGCCTAAGGAAAAATGTCCAAAAGCTCTTTGTGCCTTGGAAATAAAAATAATAAAAAGATTTGTCTTGAACCCTATCAAAATACTTATTCAGTTCTTAAAATACTTAAAATACTATACAGTTCTTAAAAATTATTCATACAGGTTTCTTAATTATATCATCGGTAGGAAAAAATAATCCAAAGTCATTAATAATAACATTTCTACTTAAATATCTGTTACATGTCTGTTTGTGCTGCTTACACCAATAATTTATGATTATTAAAGAGATGACTCTTAATTTTTATTTTAAAATTTTAAAAATATTGAGCCAAATACATTATTAATCAATATTAATTTTGAAAATAATTCTTGTTTCGGCTTTTCTTTGATATCAGCGAGTTCGGTTTTTTGGTATAGACATTTTTCGAGAAAACATAAATCTTTACTGGCCTTTGTAATCAGTAACTGTTATACTTTTCTTATCAACATAGATTAGAACATTGGTAGAAAACGCCACAGAACAATTTTATCAATGTTAAAAGAAATGCAGAATTAAAACTCATCAGAATTCCAAATATTCATATTAAATAGACTGCAATTTATTGTATATTCCGAAGAATAGTTCGCCTGTTTTCGGGGAAGGATACATATTCAGTATAGCGTTATTAACTGTATAACATATCGTACATATTTATCTAAACTAACCTGCAAAGTTTCTAATTAAAATTATGAATCGTACGGTACACAGCATTCCTTTAAATTTATTTTGACTATTTAAACTGCTTATGCACCACAGAGAGGCTTTTAGAGGTAAGTAAAAAATTATAATAACACAACACGAAATAAAATAAAGTTACAACTTCATATATGAAACGTAAGAAATTAACATAAAGAGAGAAGATAATGCCATTTTATCTTCAACAAACACATCAAAAGGTTAAGAAAAACTTAATAATTAAAAATTGTGATTGAGAAATGATTTATTTTCTAACTTCCGTAAGCTGTGAACAATAAATTTTCGACATTTTGAACTTCCCCCATGCTGCAGGAATACATGAGAGATACCACATATCTGCTCAGATACGAACTGAAATTACCCTGTCCAGTTAGAAATTTAGTAATTTCAGAAGTTCAGCAAAAAGGTTTATTATTGAATCTGTGAGGAATAGAAGGAATAAATAACTTAATCAGGTAGGCTATAAGGTTAATTTAATCAGGTAGGCTATAAAGTTAATTTAATCAGGTAGGCTAAACGTTTCTCCCGCCTTCCAGCATAGCATGCCTTCATGGAGTAACAGTTAGCACACTCGGCACATATTCAAGAGGTCCAGGTTCCAGTCCCAGCGAAGGCATAGCTCATTTTTCATGTCTCCTTCATCAAAATAACCTAATCACTCTACAGTGGAAAGAAGGTGGTGGATAAGAAACTAAGAAAGGTGGTGGATGATGATTCCTTACCACCAGGATTTGGTGATTGGGTTCCCTAAATCCCCAGTCGCTCTTTAAAAGGGGGAGTATAAAAGGTATTTTCTACCGCCTTCCCGCATGCCTTCATTTTGGAACGGTTAGCACACTCGGCGCATATTCTAGAGGTCCAGGTTCGAGTCCTGACGAAGGTACTGTTCATTTTTCATGTCTTCTGCATCAAAATAACCTAATGACTCTACAACGCAACACAAGAATTGTTGTATAATTCCTTCCACGTGATAATTTCTTTACTCCAACTTTGTTTATTGAAGAATGACTTAGGCAGTGTCATTAATTTGAAAATTTGTAGCTTCATTTACCAACCAATCAGCCCTTTCTTTTCCTAGATTGCTAGTGTGACCACGTACATGAGAGAAGATGACGTCAACGCCTTTATTGTTAAGATCTTTAAGAATCGCATGAGAGGTGACAATAAATTTATTACAGGCGAAGATATTCAAAAGAGACTATGAGGATGAGAGAATCAGTGCAAATAAGAAAGTGACAACTTAATGAACAACAATTAGATATCCACTTAAATGATTCATTACTGTACAGTAATTCGACTTGAGTTACGCTGCATTCGTTGGGAATCCAAAATAAACTGTTTTCCAGTTCAGAAATGTGATGGAAAATGGCATAAGCAGTCCAAGTCGATTATTATTCCAACTCGATTGAGCCATCTGCGTTACACTCACCAGGGAAATTATCTTGAACGAATTGTCGTAAATCATAATTTGATTTGGCAAATGATCAGCAGGTTGAAGAAGCTTCCCAAATAACACCTTGGTAGCTAACATAAGTTCCCTGATGTTATCTGTAATTTTTTGTCATGTAAACAATGAAGATCAATCGAGCAGAACTCCGCAGTTGCAAATTAGGCTTTATAGCTAATTGTTCTGCAGCCATATACAACTGTTAGTAAAATTCTTCTTCTAATTCTGCGAAGAATACCGGAATTAATCTTCTTTTCTAAAGCTGTTCCCCACACTCTAAATGCATAGTTAACACAAAAGAGGACAATACCATAACATTAAATTTTAGCAATAACACAAATCATATCAATAATATTAAATTTTAAAACAAAAGCAAGAGACATGAATGAGTAAGTATACTTTCACATTTTTGGGATTATATACATAACATGACTTTTCCATCAAAACTTATCATCAAGAATAATGCCGAAATACTTAATTTCATTCTCCGTTTCTAGTAAAATGTTAACAAACTGGTAATTTTTACTGCTACATGCTTTCTTTTACTTTATTACGATTCAACTACAACTTCTGCTCTCTAGAACAATCTGAAACTCTATTAATGTTGTTTTCAGCTGTATTAAAAAACTATCGAGACACTTCCCTTGAATACAAATCAGTAGATCGTCAGCAAAAGCAAACAGCCCAGACAATCTCAATGTCTAGTGAGAAGATTATTTATAATTACATTCCACAGTAAGGGTCCAAAAATGAAAACTTAAGGGCTTCTTTTCAAAATGCGTGAAGTAAAAACATCGCGAAGGGAGATCAATGCAAATCTATCATGCAAAGAAATCTTTAATAAAG